AGGAAACCTATAAAAATAAAAAAAAAAAAAAAAAAAAACCACAACAGAAAAAGTAACGAGAACTTCTACTTAGCATACTTGATTCTCTGTTCAGAGCACTTTTTGTCTCTGGAGTAGAGCATATGATTTAGTGTGGGGGTAAGGAGAAAGAGCCAAGAAAGTTTGATTGAATTGCAGGAGGGGCTATGTGACTTTTAAAGGTCCATTCCAACCCAAGCCACTCTGTAAATATGAAAATTTATGAATTCATGAGAGATGAAATCATGAGAGTGGAAAACCGGGTGTGTGAAGACCAACTGGAGTTTGTCTCCAGTTTTAAAAATCCAGCCACTATGCCAGTGCCTTCAGTGATGCTTCAGTGATGCCACTGCAGCAATCTGCAAAGTCACCATTGAGAGGAGTACTCTGAAATTAAAAAAAAACATAACAGAAAAAGTAACAAGATCTTCTGCTTAGCATACTTGGTTCTCTGTTCAGAGCACTTTTTGCGTCTGGAGTAGAACATATGATTTATTTGAGCATATCTTTGAAAGATAAGTGTGTTACATGTGGGTTTTTTAGGAGAAGAAAGAAGTAAAAAGGATAAATGTGGGACAGAAAACTACTAACACTACTTTTAAAAAATACATTTGCCTTCCCACATCTAGTACTGCTAAAAGGCTCATAAGTTCAAAGGCACCTTTATCTCCCCTTCTAGTGGATTGTTTTGGGATTAGGCAATTCTGTGGTTGGAATGGAACACCCCACTCCCACCACTGGTCTGTTGTAACTCATGGCTTTCATACCTAACCCTCTAAGTCTGTTTCACTTGTTTTAAAAATGACTACGTGAGTGTCTGCATCGAAGCCAAAACCATTTATGAAAGCACTACATATCACCTCAACCCAATGAGGTAAACTGGGAAGTGAAAGTCCCTGTCTCATATGACAGATAATACCAGCTTCCAAGAGTAAAACCTGTCAGTCCTGTTTTCCCACTGAGAAGAATCATTGTTCAATTATCAACTATATTATTTTTTTTTTCATTTTCTAAAATTTAAAGCTACTAGGCATCATTTGTGGGGGAAGAAAATGACAAAATGGAAGAGGGTACATCACACTGATACTGGAGAAATGACACCTTTGTTCATTCTCATATTTTCTACAACACTGTGTAGCATTTTTCTAGAGAATCCTGTTCTCTAGACACATAGTGAATATTGATGCCTGTCCTATCTGCTTTCCTGGCTCTGAGTCTGATGTCTGAGTTTTGAGGGAACAATGACAGTTTGGAAAAGGAGCACAGACCAGACAAATGCAGAAACTATGTGTAATATGCAGAAAATATGGAAATAGAGTTCCTGAGACATTAATGTGGGGATTCAGCTGTGTACAGCTTTATGGTAGAAAAAGGGTGGAATGATTTTTAAAACTGGCTTCTGATAAATTTCAGTATCAGGAATATTGTTCAACTCTTGATAGTATTTTGCTTTCAAAAGAAGTTGCAGCGCAAAGGGGCAGTCATGCACTAGAAGCTGCTGGGGGGATCTGTACACAGTTGTGTTGCCCTGAAAATGCAGAGGATGTTTGGATAGGCTGTGATTCAGCCATTTTCTTCAGTGTTTTGAAGAATATTAATTGAATGTGACAGCAGACTAAGGATGGAAAAAGCTAACCAAAAATATATTTGGCCCCAAAACTGGGAACAGTGAAATGAAGAGTAGGATTGTATGGTAAAGTTTAAATTGTCAAATAAATGGTGCTGGATTCTTTCAGTAATAGCATGTGAATCTCTCTTTTGTTTGTAATTTTGGGTAGGATTGTTTGATAGAACCAGGCTCTTCTGTCTTTTATCTTTGTGATTTTCAGTAATATGATGAGGGAAAGATGATTCTTGGAATTAAAATTTCACTTTTTTGGTACTACTCTTAGGATAACAACGAGTTTCAGAGTTAAATTGCAGCATTCCGTGCTGCAATGGGTTAGATGTTTGACACTTATAATTAGTTTGTCTTAGGTATTCATTGCACCTGAAAAAAATAGAGCATTTCCTAACATGCTAAGAAATCATGCATAAAACTGGGCAAAATAAGGCTAATAAACTTCATTCTCTGAAAACATTGGTGCTGTACTAACTTTAAAGTTATTAAAGCAAGAAATAAGCGTGCAGAACAAGTGTTGTGTGTACTAGACTGAAGTTTCACAGATCCTGCAAGCACTGCTTTTCAAAACCTGCTCAGAAAGTGCTCTGGTGCCAGGATCTGGTGAGTTCACACTTGGTTGATCAGGAAGAAGTTATATGGAGGCAAGGAATATAATTAGTAAGTGAAATGGATTTGTTCCAAGTTTCTTTGTCCTTCACAGACGAAATTTGTGTTCTTCACAAATAGGACTCACAAGTATATCTTAGGATCCCTAATTTGTACCTGAGGATGTCACAGATAATCTTGATAAGTGCTCCCTAAGCTTTATATTCTTTCTCTTACTCTTTCTAGCCAGTTTTAGCTGTTAGAGTCACCTGGAGAGAGTTTCTCATCTCGGTTGTATCCAGAGTGTGCTGGTGGGTGTGCCAGTTGTCTCTTGCTTCCCTCCTCGGAGATGTCACATACGGTGGCAAGTGCTCCCCCTCTCTGCTGTGTTAGCACCCAGGCAGGGCCTGGATAGAATGCACGAGGCAGCAGAAAGATGTCTGAAAGAAACTCCAGTGCCTGATCTACCTGATATTGTCATTTGTTACGTGCAGCCTGGCTACAGGTCAAGTAACAGCATATCAATTTAGCATGTAGATAAATGCGCTGCAGTTGATTTCACTCTGATCTCATTTTAATGAGAATTTTCCTCTAATGTTTCATTGGAGAGGAAAGAAAACCTGTCTTTCATGTGGTTTCCTGGCTAATTGCTGATTATAGGGGAGTTGCACAATATGACCACAAAACATGCTTTTAATTGCAAGGTTTTTTCACAGTAATAATCTTTGATATGAAAAAGGATTTTCAGTCTGTGGTAGATGGTATACAAATGTAGATGTTGTGCATGTAACATTGCATGTATGATGTATGGCTTAACCTACTTATCTTGGCTTTTTAAGTTCTGCATTCCTAACTTTGCTTTCTGTCATCCTCTCAGGAACCCTGGGATGCACAGCACATTCCAGCACTGTTCTCTGCTTTCTGTGGTCTGCTAGTTGCACTTTCTTATCACCTCAGCAGACAAAGCAGCGACCCATCTGTGCTGATGTAAGTTGCCTGTAAATGTTTTTTTGCTGATCACTCTTTACAGCGTGCAGCCAGAGTGATGCCTGAGTTTCAGAACCACAGGGGTTGCTTCCTGAAAGTACTGTGGTGAGGTGGAATTCTTCACCATGTCTGCATGGCTGGTAACAGTCCTGTATATGAATGAAGTGCTGCAGTCAGATCACCAGTAGGGCTGGTGTTCTTTAAGCAGCACTATCCAAAATCTCTCAAGCAGATTTTTCCCCTCTGGGAGGTTGTATGCTTGCCAGGTTAGAGGACAGTGATTTAGTTGAGTGGGGTTCTGGCAACTGGAGTTGCAGAATGTGCATTGGTTAGCACTGGGACCAGTAAAAGGAACATTTAACATGCTGGGTAGATGGCTTTATTCCAGCTCTTGCTGAGGATTACTTCAGTAGGCTATGCCTCTCAGTTTGAGGTTCCATCCTTCCTTTTGTTCTCTGACACAGCTGCTAGAGGTAACTGAGGAGAGGAAGTGTATGCTAAGAGCTGACACTGCAAACAAGGGAGATTAAGGAGATAAGTCTCAATATTGTGATCTGCATGTTGAGGTGATGTATGACAGACAGACCCAATAGATTCATAGCTCAGGTGCAGCAAATGTGAATTTCCCAGTGAGGAAGCTGTGATGTATGGCTGTTAGAGGGGCTGTGGAGGTCAGCAAGCAGCTGGGCAATTACATCTATGGCTGTGGGGCTAAGCAAGCAAGTGGGTTTTGTGCCACCAGTATCACCATAGCATTTGGAATTCTGCTTCACAGACAGCTCAGTTTTATCCTAGGAGAGTGCAGAGGGCCTGTAAGAGGTTCTCTCACAGAGAAAAGTTCTCTCTTTTGATTCATGAGGTGAAGGTCAAGGCTCATGATACATGATTCTGCAATGCAGAAGAGAGAAGGGGAAAGTGGAGAGCTTTTTAGGCTGTTCAGAATTCTATTTTAGCAGAGAAACTTGGAAAAAGCAGAGCAACACTGATGGAAAGGACAACACTGAAGGAAAAGACACAGAGCACTCGTAAGAAATTGTCATCCCAGTAAATCTTACTGGAGAGTTGAGAAATTCTTTACTGTCCAAAAAATTCAGGGAATCTGACATTTATGCATTGCTAGGTTCTGATGTGGCAAAGCAGCAAGAACTGCTTGCATGACTTGCCGTGAACTTTACCCACAGCCTACTGAGTGTGACACAGATGTCAGGTAGATCTTGATCAAGCTTTATGTGGATGGTGTGTAGTTTTTTGGCCATTGCAGTATGGAAATTATGTATGTTAGGAAGTAAAGCTATGCATTAGGGCGAGTTCTTAGCCTTTGCATAAAATATACATAGGTTAATTGCAAATCAGATGAAATTGTGAGTTCTTTCAATTTTGAAGTAATTTAAATGTATCCTTTTCTCTTACTTCCCAGAAAGGACACACCAGTTCATGAACCTCTTTAATAAAACAGAAACTTTTCTTCCTTGAAATTTTTGTTTTAAGGAAGTAATCTAAAACTATTAAATGCCTTTTAACTTATAAATCTACCTAGCAATTTCATAACATTTGAAATGAAATCTTCAGCAACTGAAATAGTTCCTAAAAATGTAAAAATTAAGAATACATGTACAACAACATCAAATGTTTATTGTGCAATTGTAAAAATTGCATCCTTAAAATCATCCTAAAAAAAGAGATTTAAGATTTTTTTTCTCTAAACAGCTCTGAACTTCTTTTAAATAAGTTAAGGAGATTGGAAAAAGTATTTAAGTCTGGCCTATGGCATAAAATTCAAGATAGATGAGAGGGTAGCATATAAATCTCAAAGAGAGAATTAATGTATAGGTTGTACAGAACTGGCTTCCTTAGCCATTTTAACATGGGTCTAAAGAGCTCTCATATTGGTTTCAGCTTAGCTGAAACAGAACTAAGAGTCATAAATCAACAGTACCCTCTCTGCTCATTCTCTAAATGACTGAGTCGCATTGACTGGGCTGCTGAGACTCCTCAGGATTCTGATGAGGAATTTCTGCTCTGATCACAGGTGGAGCTGGTTTGTGTCAATCTCCAGCTGAACAGAGATAAGAATGCCAATGGATACATGAAGAAGGAAATCCGAGGCTGTTGTTTCTCTTCTGTCCTTCAGGAATATTAATATCTGTTGCACATGTTCTGAAGTATATTAACTAGGAAATTTTTTTTTGAATAGGTCCCTTATTCAGTGTAAATACATCCCTCACTATCTACGCCAGCGATTTGAAGATTCATCAGAAGATCCACTCCCGGAAAAAATGAGAGAATCAGTGGTAAGGCTTTTCCTTTCCTTAATTTCTGTTCTAAGCTCTCTCATCCATTTTGCCCACTGAGGAACCTTGTAAATATTGTAATTGTCATTTAGTAATTTAAAAGATAATCTTTACGGTGAGGCCAGCAGTGAGAACGGGGATACACGCCATTTTCCTTTCTGAAGGACTCCTCTGAAGGGCTCTGCCACATTGATTCTTTAATATAGTCCATGGGAAGTGTACTCTTAGAGTCTGGGGAGTGGTGCATCTCTCATCCTAGTACACAGAGAACTAATGCAGGTTCTGAGCACAGAGTTGCAGTCTGGGAATCTGGTGTGTCCTAGGTAGGCTGGATTGTTCAACAAGCACTCAAAAAGGTGAGCAGTCCTGCCAGACTCTCTGTGTGTGCTGCAGAGGAGCAGGATTTGGTCCACAGAGTTACATGTGTTTAAAGTATCCCTTATTTTTTATTTTTCTATGGCTAGGGCTACCTGTTTTTCAGGAATGCCTTTTCTGTGCCAGGATATACTCTTGACTGTGTGCCGTCCACCCCAGCTGAGCCAAGTGGAGCACACTGCCAGACTTGGCACCTAGAGGTGGAAGAAGCACATGAAACTGGGATAGTATGGGAGAGGGAGGTACATGCCTGGTGCCAAGCATTGCCATCTCATCATCTCTTTTTTGCTTGGCAGGCTGTTTATTTACTACTGTCTGGCAGGAAGCTCTAAGTTTGTGTCAGCTTATTTCTCACTTCAGCATAAACATCATGAAGTGACCCATCTTCCTTTTTGTGTCTTTTTATATTAGAAAAATGTTTGCTGTTACCCAGGGGAGGTTGATCTTCTAAGGCATTCATGTGGGAAGATCATCAAGTTTCCAGAAATGCTAAGGGGTGTTTGACATTTGTTAGTCATGTGAGCTGTCCTGTTTCCTGGCTGTTAGACAGCCCTTCCTCCTGACCACATCCCCAGTGCCTGCACATCTGAGCATTTGCAACCTAGGCAGCTGTTCCTAAACTTCTGAATGCTTTCTGAAATCCAGGAGCATTCAGAGTCTCTGGAAGATAGACTGTGTTTTTTGACCCTTAGACATGACCTGGGAGTCTGTAGTTCCTACTGGCCTCCAGATGTCTCTTCAAAGGAATGCATCTCTCATGTACATCTTGAATCATTTCTTAGGCATCTTATAAGGTGTTACACAGCCTACATTCAGCATAAGCATTGATCCCACACTAACAATGTTTTCTACTTTTCTAAGCTTCTGCTAAGATTGTCATTTTTACCATGTATTATATTATTTTAAACTACTTCCTCTAATAGGGCCTACATAAGATTAAGTGATATGGCTATTTCTTGTTGCTTGTATTGAGCTACAGTTTCTTGCAAACTAAACTGTTTGCAACAGTTGATACTGGAATATGAGCATGCATCTAGAAACAGAGTAAAACAAAGTGAAGTATTTTTGTTAGAATTTTGCTGTATTCTGTGGTATTTGTGGTGTGCAGGTTATTGCTGTGGTTCATTGACATTCTGTTCTTGTACATGGGGACTGTATGGCAGATGTAATGGAAAGCTTCTCATGCTCCTGTAGTTCTGTCTTTTGCTGATAGTGCCTTTCTTGGAGGAATACAGATTCTGATGTCATCTGTTCTGCAGATGGAGCCCAGCCCGGGGACTGAAGCAGTTACTGCAGCTGTCCACTTAACTGGTTTCATTTCACAGTGCAGAGGGAAACCTTGAGCAAGGCTTTAAAATATTGAAAATGAAAACCAAAAATAGTGGAAAAATCTGCATCTAAGATCCTGGCTGTATTTTTAAAATGAAGCAATTCTGCAGACTCTGACAGTTTTTATATCAGTGACATGGACAGGGATCTGCTGTCTTACACTAACGCTTGGGCCCTTGAGCCAAGGTGGGGGAAGGTGCAGAAGTATAGGGATAACCGCTGGGATTTGCCAGACACAGGACTTCAGTTCTTCTCTTCACAATGTTTCATTCCTGTCACACTTTTTCATTTTGTCACACTTTTAGGATTAATTAAGTGGGCTTCTTGGCACCTTTGCTCTCCAGGAAATGCCTGGATTTGGGAATTGGCACTTTTCTGCTTTGTACATTTGATACTCCACGATGCTGCTGCTACGAGGCAGAGGCTGCTTTCCTTCAGTGTTGATGCAGCTTGCTAGTTCTTTGCATTAATTTTTCTTTCCACCTCTGTCTGGGCTTCCTTCCATCTGTATAAAAGTTGTAAGCCAAAGGGTTTGCTTAAAATGTCAATTAGCAGTGTTAATTTGGAAGAATTAGCTGGAGAAAGAGGGCAGTTTCTGATTAATGTGGACTCTTTGTCTAACCCCTGTGTTACCTGGTACCTCTGTCTCAGTTAAACACCAAGGAGACTCCCACTGGTATCTCACCAATGTAGTGCTAACAGGGCAAGTAGGGAAGAGCTGAGGCAGGAGAAAATGCACGTGCATCGAATTTAAGGAGCACAATCAAGCCACAGTCCCTGCTGACTTGCTTCAGCAATTGCAGTCATGTTTAGGATGTAGGATTGGCTGACTCTTCAAAGCCAATTTAAAGTAATTTCCAGAAGTTTTGTAAGGGGATCTTCAAACTGTTCAGCAGCTGGGTGAAACAGTATATCAGTATTAGGAAGAGATTTTGTGATGGCAGCTCATTTTTTCTTGAAGTGCTTCCGTGCAAGTAGAGTATTCCTAACCCCTGTCAGAGGCAAGACATGGCAGGGTGCAACAGAGGCCAACCTTGCCTTGGTGACATGTGGTCTACAAAACAGCATTTAAATAAGATGCATTTTAACCAGAAAGCCAGAGGCATCAGAACCACATCACCTTCTCAAGCAGCTAAAAGCAAACAAGGTTAATATTGAAACTTAATGTGCTGTTTTCTGGATGGTTTTGCATTGGTGTTAGGAGTAATAAATACAGCATCTCTAATGTTTGATTACATGACTTTTACCCTTGTGCTTTCCTTGAATAGCTGTGTAAGAATTGCCAGCTTTGGAAGCCTGAATTATGAAGCAGCTGTGATTGATAATTGACCATTCAACTTTGAGAATGGAGCTTCCTACCATTATAATTAATTTCTGTAGGCATCCACATGGCTGATTGCTAGATTAAGCAGTGGCCTGAGGCTGATAATGTGTTACATTCAAACTCAAGGTTCCTTCCTGGTCTTTAGTGCAAACATTTAGATAGCTAGTAAAAAGATTTGTACAAAGCCCCAAAAATCTAATTGAAAATAATGGTTGGACTTGGTGATTTTAAAGATCTTTTCCACATAAATAATTCTATGATTCTGTGATAATAATTAAAACAAAAAAAGTGCCACTCTAATATATTCTGCTTGTGAAATCCCCAAGGCATCGAAGGTAGCAATGTTGGTTTGGGGTTACTTTTATTTTTCCCTTGTGTAAAATGGAGTGTAGAATGGCTTTCAGCCCAAACAGTGACCATCTCTCACTGGAGAGATTTGAACTGTGAATAGGATTTTAATTTTTAAGTTTTACATTTTTGGACCAATTGCAGTGAAGGGCTCAAGCGTCATGCTATAGAGCTATTCAGTACTCAGCTCATAAGTTCCTGGCCTTAGGAATGATATCCAAAATCCTGCTTTAGACAGTTGGGTCTAATGTAGGCACACGGTTTTCAGGAGCTAGCTGCCCTCCACAGGAAGGCCGGGAGCCACGCATCCACCCCCAGCAGGTAGATGCCCAAGGTTTTCTCCTGGAGTTGCCATTTCCTGGGGGACCCTGTTCAGTGACACAGAACAGAAACAAGGCACTACTCAGTTTTGTTTTAGAGGGAAAAAGCCTGAATTTTGCGAGAAGCTTGAAAGCATTGGCCACATCAAGAGGGACCTTCTGTGTGGACCATTGTGCCACACTCCGTGCAGTATATTTACATTTTGAAACAGTTCAGTGCAAGGACAGAAGGACAAGCCTGGGCATATATGGTACTTTAAACACGTTCTATGTTGCCAGAAATGGAAAGCAATTGTCAAATTTGGGCTGGAATATCTGAATAATGATAATTTCCTTAAAAACATAGGCCTTTTTCTGTATAGGATTGTCAAAAGTTATGAGAGCACTGTTAAAAGGACAATTGCAAAAGGAAAGATGGGAAATAAAAGTCCTATGCAATACAATTTGTGTAATATGTTCTCTTCTGAATGCAATGTTTGAAAATATTCTCTTTGGTGATCTGGTCTGGAATGGAAAGTTAGGATGCCACCTCTCCCCAAAATGTGAATTGTTATTATCTCTGCTGATTTTACAGCTAAATTCTTATTATTTTACACAGCTTTTAAAGTGACAGCTTCTTCAGTCATCTGATTGTGAGAGAAATCAGCCATTTTAATAGTAAGCCTTTTGGGTTGTACAGAAGAGCTTGTGAATGTGATTGGAGTGTGTTTGTTGTTCTTAGAAGCTTATTTTAGATTACTGAGTAGTTGAATTCAGCTGTGCAGAAAATGATATTTGATCAAGACTTTTCATGCTGTGTATTCACAAAAGGGCTGAAATAGTGCCATCTAAATTTGACACTGCTTAATTTTTTCAGATTCTGCTGTTTTATGTAGATTTTGTATGCAACATCTTTAAAATATCTGGAAAGGTTAAAAAGTCATTCCCATTGCATAGATTGGCAATAATTCAGTTATTCATTTTTATTAGACTGTGTTTTTTCAGTACTGCTACTTGCTAGCGAGAGAAAGTTGTGAGAGAACTGAACAAGGACCTGTGGTGACAGGCAGGGAGCCAAGGTTTAGTCAGGGAAGAGAAAGCTTTTCCTGTGAGCTCCCTCATGTTGTGGTTCTTCTGTTGAATGCAGCAGCCAAGGAGCAAGGCTAGCAGGGCTGTGCTTTGAAAAGGTGTTCAGGAGGGGTTCCAAAGACCAAACTCTGCTCCCACACCTTCGCAGCACATGCAACCCATGCAGAGTGCAGGGCTGTCCAGAGAAGGATGGCTGTCAGATGCAGGGAGCACCACTCTTTTGGAGACATGTGCACACTCCTGAGCAGCCCTGCAGGGAGGGCAAAGACTCTGGTGGTTGCTTGAGATTTCAGCTAAGCCGAATTGGAGTTTCCTGGGACAAAGCAAAAGTACTTTCAGAGCCTGAAGGCTTTTTAGTCCTGCTGCATTTCAAAGGGCTGCTGCAGTAAGTGGAAGTGCTGATGCAGGTGACCTTTTACTGAGAAGCATCTTTCATAACAGGGAGTGATAGGCAGCCTAAATATAGAGGTTGCTACCAGCTTCCCTGGTAATTCACAGCCCTTCTGTTCTTCACTTGTTCTGCTTGCTTTCTTTTTTATCTCCTTTATTTGTATAGTTTGCCATACTATCATTATTTTAGTTTTCTTTCTTTTTCTCTGATGAGATTCATTAAGCTTAGCTAGATAACCCCACCAGGAAGTCAGATGAACCTCTGGTTCTAACAAAAGTGTTGTTTTTCACATGTTGTTTCTAGCTATCTTTGAATTAAAGCACAAGTCAGCTTCTAAACCAAGAGCTACAAATAGTTTCTCATTTGGTAACTTAGCAGCAGAATTGAGCGCTGAACCTAAATGCCCTTCTCATAAATCTAAGACAAGATTTTCATTTACTCACAAAAGCATTTGGGTGACCTCTGAAGTACAATTCAGAAGACCGCACAGATCACAAGCTATGTTGTTTATTTGTTTACTGAGAATGACATTTTAATCTCAAGAAAAATGTGCTGTAAAGACAGTGATATTTCCAGTTTTTAGAAACAAAGTTAATCCTACCACGGTTACAGATCTTTATATAAAGGCAGATGTGTCCTTTCATTATCATTCAATGACACTGGAAGAAAGGTTTGTCTAAAATCCGCAAAATCTTGCTGCAATTTGACTTCCAATAAAGAAAATCAGGGAATGGGACATGTCACTTTAGAACATAATAAATGTATTAATGTTGTGTCTTAGAAGGTGTTATGGTAAAGCATGACTTTTTTCAGTAATCCAAGAGAAAGGGGATAAGAAAAACTAGTTCTTGAAAATAGGGAATGGAATCAGAATTTTGATTCCCAAAAATAAGAAGGTCTTAATGGAAAAGAATTATATTCCTCAAGCAGAATCAGATTCAGTATTAAAATGTATTGCTTTAATTTCTCCAATATTATAACTTTGTTATTTAATAATATAATTCAAAATTAGGCATGAAGAATTTAAATTGCATTACTTCAACAGACCTGGAGTGTGGAGAGAGAATTTCCCAAAGCAGAGTGGAGAAAATACTTTTGTAGTAGGGAATGTCGATTAACCTTATTGCAATGCAGAGTATAAGTAATTGAGAACAGGGTAATTACTTTGGTTAAAATAGTGCTGCCTTACTAATTGTGTGTAAAATAATAATTTTCACAGAAAGAAATCTTGAAATCGGATCTCATTGTCTGCACAGCAGCTGCTGTTCTGTCATTTGCTGTCAGTGCCAGTACTGTGTTTCTGTCACTAAGGGTATGTATCTATCTTTTTTTCCCCCCACTAAGGTATTATGTCTCTTAGGCAAAACCACAGGGTGCTTTAACTGGAAAGAATAGATGCTGTGAGAAGAGAAGTTAGTGAAAATGCACTTGCTGGTCATGATAACACTGTTATATTTGCAAAGCAGTTTCTGGATATTTGTATTAATTTCAGTATTGCTTGTTTGACATCTCTTTCCTTAAACAGCTCTTATGATATGGAGCCCAGAGGACAGAATGAATAAGCCTGACATTTTGCCTTTTTTCCTCCAATCATGGAGTAAAAAATTGGCTAATTGTGTGTGCAAAACACATATGTCAAAATCCATATTCACCTAGCATCAAGAATTTGAACATAGGAATAAAAATCAATTGCAGAAAAATACAATTATGGAAACTGTTAAAAAATGTTTAAAATAGCTATATATGTTGTATGTAAATTATAACTATGTTTCCTTTTTTTCTGCTTTGGCCCAGCCATTTCTCAGCATTGTGCTGTTTGCTTTAGCGTGGACAGTGGGATTTGTAACACATTACATCCTTCCTCAGCTCCGCAAGCATCACCCCTGGCTGTGGATCTCCCACCCCATACTCAAAAGCAAAGAGCACCAGCAGCGGGAAGTGAGAGGTTTGTAATACTGTCTTTTCTGAAGAGTGGATGCAATGACTTCCAGCTTGCCTTGGTTTGAAGAACAAAAAAAATAAAAAAATCCAGAAGTAGCAGAGCTGGGAGAATAAACGACCCTTTTACTTTTGAATAGCACACATATCATTTTAATTTTTCCACTGCACCGCCAGCAGATCTGTGAACCTGTAGGAAATGTCTTCTCAGGCCACTGCCCAGATGGGCTGAGGCTGGGCAGACACGTCTGGAGATTGTCTAGTCTGATGCCCCTGCTCAGAGCAGGGTCAGCTAGAGCAGGATGCCCAGAGCTGTGTCCAGTTTTTAATATTTTCAAGTGTAGAGACTCTAAAAAACTGGACATAGCATTCAGTCATCCTTACAGTAAGAAAGTTGCTTCAAACTGTGGTATTTGGATGGATTTTGGTGGGGGGTTTTTTCTGGTTGGTTTTTTTTGGTTGTTTTTTTGGTTTGTTGTTTTTTTTTTGTTTGTTTGAATAGCACACATATCATTTTAATTTTTCCACTGCACCGCCAGCAGATCTGTGAACCTGTAGGAAATGTCTTCTCAGGCCACTGCCCAGATGGGCTGAGGCTGGGCAGACACGTCTGGAGATTGTCTAGTCTGATGCCCCTGCTCAGAGCAGGGTCAGCTAGAGCAGGATGCCCAGAGCTGTGTCCAGTTTTTAATATTTTCAAGTGTAGAGACTCTAAAAAACTGGACATAGCATTCAGTCATCCTTACAGTAAGAAAGTTGCTTCAAACTGTGGTATTTGGATGGATTTTGGTGGGGGGTTTTTTTCTGGTTGGTTTTTTTGTTGTTGTTTTTGTTTTGTTTGTTTGTTTTGTTTTGTTGGTTTTGGTGGTTTATTTGTTTTTGTACTACTTTTTTCTGGAAATGGGTTTTCAATTTGTGCCCATTTCTTTTGTCCTGTCTCTGGCCACTGCTGAGAACAGAGTGGCTCCATCAACTTTACTTTCCCCCATCAGGTATTTTTACCCCAAAAATGCTGCCAATCAGGCATTCATAAGATGCCCCCAAGTCTTTTTCTTCTCAAAGTTAAGCAATCCCAACTCTCTGTTTTTCCTCATATGCTGAGTGTTCCCGTCCCTTAATCATTTCACAACCTCTATGTGATCTTTCATGAGCCACTGTCTGATCTGCCTTTTGTTTTACTTTACAGTACTGTTACTTGCTGTATTGCTTGACATGGTATAGTTCATGCCTAATAGATTGGTGTTCTACATAATTAAAAAACTTAAAAGATTGATGAGATTGAGGTATTATTTTTTCTACTTTCTGGCGTATCAGCAAATATAGTGCAATTTAAGTGTTCTAATTTAAATTGTAACACTTGTAGAGAAACATTACAATTGAAAAGGACTTAAATTTTCTTTAAGATTTGTTCTTGCTGATGTCTGCTGGCTTCAGTGGGTAGTGCCTTGATGCATGTGAATATCAGTCAATATTTTAGTATGTCAAGATCTGATTTCCCGTTCTGGTAGAGTTATTTCTGAAGCAGGCAGTGTGCTTTGAGAAGTAAAGCTTCCCCCCTCCACCCCAGCTCTCTTCTTGGCTTTGCTACCAGCCAAAAGCTTGCTTGTCATTTCTTGATGGATCCCACGCCTTAATAATTCTCAGTATATGTTTCTGAAGTGTTTGAAGACAGTATTTGCAGAACAGTCTGTTGAGGGACTTTAGTCTGTTCTTCAGCTAGTCCACGAAAGTGTTCAGATCACTCTCTGGAACACCATACATTAAGGATTTAAGTCTTTTTTACTTAAAAAAAATTATGTGTTTCAAAATTATTACTTTCTAAACAAGGTTGGGTATGAAAAAAGTACCCAAGAGACTTGATTGAAGGTTGCCTTTTAACTTTTACTGCAATATGCCGAGGAAGGTATAATAGAAATATAAATATTATTAACCACCATGCCCAGCTGAAAACAGTGTCCAGGACTTCCTGTCCCTGATAACCAGTAATTCTGATAAATACCCAACTGCACGGTTTGTTTCAGCACTTAATCATAAAAGACCACTGTAGGATTTCTTTGCCTTGTCCTAATTAAGTCTGTCTTCATTTTAAAAAAAAAAAAATTGTTTTCCTAAATGCAGTGACTCAGCATTTGAAAAGGTTGAAGGTAGAGACTTGCTGCACTGATTTCCACAGATGGGTTTCCTTCTGTTTTGAGATCCAGCTGCATTTCTCATGCTGCCTACTGTGGGAACAGTCTTTTTTTGCTTCTTTTGCAGTCCTCATTTATATGTGGCATATTCCTGTACTTTGGCGTCTAAGTATTGTTGCAATGTCACTGGTGTTCTGTGTTAGAAAACAAGAGTTAAAAAAATTGTGTATATATATGTGTGTGTATATATATATATATATATATATATTATATATATATATATTTCAGTCCCTTAGGCTGCTGCAGAGGTTTTTTATCATGTGTGAGATGAGACAGACTGTGGAAAAGTTAATCCCTTTGATAGATATGCCTGATGGGCTGTCTTCTTTCTTTTGTCCTGTAATAAAAATATAGGAACAAAACTTTAAAATGTTCTCTCTTTGTATAGAAAGAGAAACTTGAAGAAAGGACGGTAGTACCCCACAGCTGTCAGATGCATACAATGAAAGGACAAGTACACAAAATGTCTGTGAGGAGTTTTTATTGCATAGATTTTAATTTTAATCTATTTTTTTTCTTTGACAAGGGTAGTGCTATTGAAGGACAAATGACTGCTTGCCGTTAGACAAACAACTGGCAGTGACAATTCCACAAGTTTATTCCTGGCTTTGTTGCGTAGACTTTGGATGAGCTCCTCAACCTTTAAGGTGTTCCATAGAATAGCAATTATCCGAGCAGTTCTTGTGCTGCCCCTGTGAGATAACTCCGTTGTTACTTGTCATTGTCTTGGCTGGTTGCAGGATGAAAGGCTTAGGTCAAGATGTATGAGCTTATAGTATATCGATGTGTAGAAATTAGTAAAGGAATAAATAAAAAAGAAATTCTGATATAATAGCCTATTTTTTCTTCTCCTTCCTCCCCACTACTGCTTTTAAACCCCACAGGTTTGTGTAAACCATTTTCAAATCATCCACGTCTTTCCCTGGGGCCCCTTCTTAATGTGAGCTCTTTATTCTGTCTCCATTGTCTGAACAGACCTCTCTCTGCCCCTGCACCTACCTTCTGTTTGGTTTGTGTGATGTGCTTATCTCTTGTTTGAAGCCTGAATTCTTGCACGGAGCTCAGCTTTGGGCATGGCTGAAGTTCTTGAGCTCAGGAGGAGGAAAGAGGAATGGGGAAAAACAACTAGGTTCCAAAATGGACATTTTGCTGTGTGTATGAACTTCTGGGTAATGAAGAGGAAATATTTTTATGTTATAGCAAGAAACAGAAGTTATTTATATTTTCTGAAGGGGGATTTTTCCAAGAGCATTACCTTAGCTTAAGGTACTGGCAAAGCATAACATCAACCTAATTTAGAAGGATTGTTTTAGATCTTTGTCTTAGCCTATGCAATATACAACTGTGCCTGTAGAACATAGAAATCCATTGATTCAGCATGTCTTCTTTGTCTGTCATTGAAAAGGTGTGTTTGGAAGAAGGGGGTCTCTACATATAATTGTTTTCATTTTGCAGGGATAATTATTGGCAATTCAGTAGATGGCATTTTTATTTCTGAGTTGATACCAAGTTCTGCCTTTTTGTGTTCACTGTTTTCCCAATAACCTTGTCTAGCTGAAATTTGAGGAAAAAGTCATTGTTTTTGTCTGTGCACAAGTTTCTGCACTCAGTCCACCTAAGTTCTCATAGCAGCTGAATTGCATGGAGCATTCAGTCCTTGTTTAATACTCATATTAAGCACTGTGATATTGTTAGAAAAGTCTACTGAAAAAAACCAAACCTGGTCCTTAGAGCCACAAGTTTATTCCTGGCTTTGTTGTATAGACTTTGGATGAGCTCCTCAACCTTTAAGGTGTTCCATAGAATAGCAATTATCAGAGCAGTTCTTGTGCTGCCCCTGTGAGATAACTCAGTTATTACTTGTCATTGTCTTGGCTGGTTGCAGGATGAAAGGCTTAGGTCAAGATGTATGAGCTTATAGTATATCGATGTGTAGAAATTAGTAAAGGAATAAATAAAAAAGAAATCCTGATATAGTAGCCTATTTTTTCTTCTCCTTCCTCCCCACTACTGCTTTTAAACCCCACAGGTTTGTGTAAACCATTTTCAAATCATCCACATCTTTCCCTGGGGCCCCTTCTGAATGTGAGCTCTTTATTCTGTCTCCATTGTCTGAACAGACCTCTCTCTGCCCCTGCACCTACCTTCTGTTTGGTTTGTGTGATGTGCTTATCTCTTGTTTGAAGCCTGAATTCTTGCACGCAGCTCAGCTTTGGGCATGGCTGAAGTTCTTGAGCTCAGGAGGAGGAAAGAGGAATGGGGAAAAACAACTAGGTTCCAAAATGGACATTTTGCTGTGTGTATGAACTTCTGGGTAATGAAGAGGAAATAGTTTTATGTTATAGCAAGAAACAGAAGTTATTTATATTTTCTGAAGGGGGATTTTTCCAAGAGCATTACCTTAGCTTAAGGTACTGGCAAAGCATAACATCAACCTAATTTAGAAGGATTGTTTTAGATCTTTGTCTTAGCCTATGCAATATACAACTGTGCCTGTAGAACATAGAAATCCATTGATTCAGCATGTCTTCTTTGTCTGTCATTGAAAAGGTGTGTTTGGAAGAAGGGGGTCTCTACATATAATTGTTTTCATTTTGCAGGGATAATTATTGGCAATTCAGTAGATGGCATTTTTATTTCTGAGTTGATACCAAGTTCTGCCTTTTTGTGTTCACTGTTTTCCCAATAACCTTGTGTAGCTGAAATTTGAGGAAAAAGGCATTGTTTTTGTCTGTGCACAAGTGTTTCTGCACTCAGTCCACCTAAGTTCTCATAGCAGCTGAATTGCATGGAGCATTCAGTCCTTGTTTAATACTCATATTAAGCACTGTGGTATTGTTAGAAAAGTCTACTGAAAAAAAACCATACTGGTCCTTAGAGAGGAATGATGTGAGATGTGATCTTGGCAGATACTTCTTACAGTGTCTGTTTAAGTGTTTTGGGAAACATCTATGACAGTTTCTATCTCCTGATATTTCTTCAGTCTTTAGATCTCAAAGGGTGTTTCATTTATCAGTGAGGTCACTGATAATTTACATTCTAAGGAACAGTGTTTGGCTACTATAAGATGGGAAAGTAGAGGCACAGAGTTCCAATGAGGTTTCCGAGGTGATTCAGCAGGTCAGTGCCAGAGCTGGAGAGGGCCTCTCTGGGGTCATTACATCCACTGAGAGTACTATTTAATACACCAACTAAATAATTGGATGATGTAAAAACCACCATCTAGCATATGCTATCTTTTATTGTTTCTGAATGTGTCTCAGGAGTGCAATTATAGCCAGAAAAACAGATACTTTCTAAGCTCAGAGAACAAAATTATTTTTTCATTGCCAAAAATTATGAATTCCATTATTTCATAGATTATTTGGTTGACTATATTTATTAATGTGAACCAATTCATGTCTTCGATGGTACTCCAGTGCAAAAAATGCTGATGATTTGACAACACAATCTGTTATCTGAATTTCCATTTCAGATGCTGCTCATTTGATGTGGTTTGAAAGGCTTTATGTGTGGCTACAGTGCTTTGAGAAATACATTTTATATCCAGCCATAATACTGAATGCACTCACCATTGATGCTTTCTCAATTAGTAAATACAAGAAGCTTGGTACACAGTAAGTAGATTATAACTCAAAGCATGTGATTAGTAGAATATTTGGTTTTAGACTGAAGACTGAGAAATGGAATTTGTTTTTAAATAAGCCTGTAATCTTGTCACAGTTTGCTTTCATGCATATTAGTTCAAAATACAATAATCATTGGCTTTGCTGCAAGAAAAATGCAAAATTACCTTAGCACACTAAAATGTGTCTCAAGTGAGAGAGAGTGAAATTAAAAGATTAAAGAGCTATATATAGCTATATATGGAAGGTCTAAATGTCAATTAAAAGCAAGACACACTATATCAGGCTGCAGGTGTTTGATGGGCATAAACTCAGTGGGGTAACTGGAATTAATCAGATGAAAATGAGGAATCTAGGCTGGATATCAGGAAACATTTCCTAACTGAGGATTTTTAACACTATGCCTTAGTCTCCCAAAGGAGTTATCAGAAGCATCACCACACAAGTCTTTTAAGTCTGAATGAAATATTAAACAGTGTAGAAAGGTGGGTAGTCCTGCATTAAGAGTGGTTTGAAAAAGGTGGGGGTAGGGGTTTTGACAAAGTCTGATGTCTTAGATATTAAGCAGGACTGGTGATGCTGATCCGTGGTCTCACAGTGTGATCCTTGCAGACAGCCTTTTATGGTAAGTATTTTAGTCAGTGACTTGACTACTGCAGATATTCAGCAGGCTTAGTGACTGCAGTATCCCCAGCGAGCAGAGTTTCTGCAGTCTTTTTATCAGAATGACAGTGATGCAGATGATAAAACAAAGACACAGCCTTGGAATGCTCCAGTAGCAAGAAAAACTGCTGGGAGGTGGGGCAGAGTTCCTCAATATCCATAAGAATGCACAGTCTTAATTTCAAATATTAGATAAAAGAACTTTGATGTAAGTATTGCATGTTAATTTAATTATTTCTCTCTCTTAAGGAGCAACACAGCTTTAGGAACTACACAACTATAAGGAATAGGCAGCACCTGCTTTTAGGCAGCCCCTTTAGTTTGAAAGTTGGACTAGGGCATTAGTCAAATTATCTGCAGACATTAGTCAAATTATCTCCCAGACAACTACTTTTACAGAGAGACCCTCACCAGTCACTCACTGATAGCCCCTGTAGTTCCCCACTGACCTTTTTCCCTCCCCAGGCACCTGGAAAATGCTACAGCCAAGGTGCTTCAAGAGTTCAGGTGTATTGTCCAGGGTGACACTGAATCCACACTCATCCCTCTATGTAGCTCTGCAAGGCTGGGAGAATTAAAAGTAGTCAGAATGCCATTTGTTACTAGCTAGCAGACGTGACTGAATACATGCACGGAGCAAATATGTAGGGTTAGGAAGGTGCTATTTTTACATAGTCATTCCTCCAAGCTAGATTGCACTTTAAAGTATCACCTCCCTCAAGTGTTCAGAAGAAATGAGTCAGACCCCCAGAAGTCTTGAGATTAAAGAAAGTAATTACATTTGTCTGCCTCTGATTGTTTGGCCTGTGGGGGAATACCACAGCAGTCCTTTCCTTCCCCATCCCCCTTGTGTCTGTGTGATCACCTGTGTAAAACCTGCTCTCTCCTTTTCCTTGTAACTGGTCTATCCGTGAAATTCCCAGTATGCCTTTTCCTCTGGCTCTGTGCTTTAATAGATTCTCCCTACAGCTGCCATCCAAATGCCACATGCAAAGCATTCAGCTTCTGATTCCACCTCTTTCTGAACTCTGTAAACCCATGGGGCATCCTGGATTCTCCTTGCTGCTTCCCTATACAGTGTTACTGAGGGTTTTAATGCATAAATACCTGTTTTCTGTTGCTGGAACATTCCTTAGTTATTGACCACCCAAGGATCACACCGCATGATGCTGTAAGGAAGGGAAGACACACTCCCACTCTGTGTCTGAAAGTGTCTGAGGTGGAATTTTGTGTGATTTGATGTCAGAGTTTTCCTCAAATTGAACTTATCTTTTAAAGAAGCTTCACCTTGCTTTGTGATTTAAAGGACTGCAGCAGTTTGCTTCTTGAGGAGGTGGAACAGCTCCTTTATATTCAGGAATTCACTTGAGCTTTCCAGACCCTGTGTGCTGGTTATTAACAGGACCCATGCTGACAGTGCCTGCCCCTGTTACCTGCTAAAGAGGCACTGGAAATCAGCCCCCCTTCACACGTCGTCTTACATCCTTTCCTGGGAGTTAAGGTCCCAGGAAAAGCACCTTGTGTGGCAGTATTCTTAAAGAAGAAGGAATAATGAGCAAATTAATTTTTGTTACCTCTGAATGTATTATTTTGTAAAGTGTCATTTTTTGGTGAAAGTTTCATCATGGTAACAGGCACATTGACTAAAAAGTCTTCCTTTTGCTCTATAATCTGTAAGTTTCCATGTGAATATTTCTCCATGTTGTAAAAATTTTCTTCTTTCTGAAGAATGAGATATGCAACTGGTTCATATAGAATACACTAAGGATGGCTTCTGTTGGCTTCAGAATCTATTTAGCTTAGTCATTAGGTTTTCTGTTCAGAAATGTGAGGCAAATTGAAAATAACAGCTTTGACAAGGTGGGAAATAAGGTCAGCTTGGTGTTTCATTCCAACAGTAATGCCCTACTGATCCTTTAGAATGACCAGCACTCGAAATAAAGTTGAGCTGTATTATGGGAGATACACAAAAATGAATAAATGCCACATAAAATAAAATCAACTTGAAAAATAGGAATCCTGCTAGGATGGTGGGATCCTGTTGAGAATTTTCTAGCCTGCCAAGTGTCAGTTATGGCAGCAGGTATTCCCTTGCTTAGCAGCAGGATGAAGGAGAACCTTCCATGCATTTTGCAAATACCTGGCCTACTTTCTCATTCGTTATACATTGAAGTCCCCACATTTTGGAAGACATAGGTTCAACACAGGTTCTTTTGATCCGATGAACTACTAAATAGAATATTCAACTTTCTGATCAAGAACTGTGGTAAGAATTTCATACACTTCACATCTATGTGTAATTCTATCCAGAATTTTGGCAGCGCATAATGAAATTACAAGTAAAATTATAAAATCTGTCATCAGGTGAAATTTCTTGTAATAAAAAAAAAAAAGAGTTCAAGGGTTTGTTTTTTTTTTTCAAATTACAGGAATGTATTCATGAAAGTGCCAAGGTATTTCCTGGACTGAAGTTTTACTTTAAGAGGGATATAAAAATGTCTGGTCTAGATTCTTGGGTTTTAGTAGTCAGTGCTACTCTTTTTAGTACAGATTTTGTTCTTTTTTACAACTTACAAATATGTCATAATGATAAGGGAAAAATACAAAATTTCACATAAGTAAAATAACTGTGATGATTTCTGATATTACTTCTGTATCCTTTTAATAAATAAGATATGTAGATTTAGATATGCATAGTAATGGAAAATACAACTGGTACAGATATTTGTATTTAAGACCTTCTTAATTTAATGCCTTATGACTTGATTAGGTTTTTCTCTCTGCTTTTCTTACAGCTGTGACATTATCCTGATAACAGTTGCTGGGATGAAACTCCTCCGCTCCTCATTCTGTAATCCTATTAATCAGTTTGTTACTTTGAGCTTTACTGTGATCTTCTTCCGATTTGACTACAGAGATATTTCAGAAAATTTTTTGCTGGATTTTTTCATGATGTCCATTGTGTTTCATAAGGCAAGTTTTAGAGCTCCTATAATTTCTTCGGGAAAAAAATATTTTCAGTGTCACCTGGCTGATCAATATACATTAGCACTTTTTAGAAGTAATGAATGCATACATAGACTCAAATTATTGGTATTATAAAGGAAAAAATCTTTTAAATTGAAAAAAAAGGCTTTGATTAAGTGGTTTTTTTCTGGCTTTGTGCAATATATTTTTCATCTACTTTTTGTTCACGTGTTGCCATATAAAGTTCAGAATTGTTGTTTTCAAGAGGAGAATCCTCAATGAGTTTGAAGAGCCTCTTGGGTCATTAGTGCAGGACTGCCCTCCAGATCAATCGCCTGGTGTTTTTATCTCAGTTTCCTTTGAATGCCTCTAGTGGTTGACTCAACAACTTCCTTTGGGAAATTATTCCATTATCTAATCACCCTCATGATAATAAATGTTTTCCTAATGTCAGCCTTAACATTTTTCTTTTCCTATTTTCAGTCTGCTATCCTTGTGATGCTGCCCTTAACCTTAACCTCAGTGCTCCTTCCTCTCTATTATATTGTTAACTCTTGAAGTGTGCTCCAGTTGAGTTTATTTTAAAACGACCAAACCCTTTCTGCATCAGTCAGGTCAGACCCTGTCTTTATTTGGAATCTAAGGTGTTTCACTGAAATAATTAGGCTTAACTGATACATTGAGAAAACATGAGAAAGTACTGAAGATATGAAAGTATTCGTCCAGGGGTAATTCTAGTGAGGTATTTGGTTTTGTTGTTCTTTGTTTTATTTGGTTTTTTTTGCTTAGGCTCCTTTGCTTGGTTTCTTTTTCTAAAATATTCCTACTATGTGTAGGAATATTTTAAAAAAAGAAAGTTATCATCCCTTAGTTAGCATCCCAGTTAGCTTTTAGTTTGTGAGAGAAGAAAGACATGGTTCCATATTGATTGCTGCATGTGCTGTGGAGATATTTAGCCCTTCTACACAAGGAGCATCAGCTCGTACTGCTGTCTATGCCTACCTGGAAGTTTCAGGCTTCCTATGGAAAGGTGCAGTTAATCGGTGCTATGTTGGGAGTTCCCAGTCATTTAGGGAAAGAGTGAAGGAGAAATTAAATGCTTTTCCTGGTTTATTTCTGTGCTGCTGTAAGGGAAGATGAGAAAGGAGGAATCACAACTTGGTGAGGTAACTTGAGCTCACTCTTTTTGCTGAACTCTTGGGCCACACTCCAGCAGAAGCTTCACCTGCTTTGAGCCTTCACCCTCAGAACTGTTGTTCTGCCTTATCTCTGCTGGGGTGAGAAAGCAAGGGCTGGGGAGGAAGGGCAGAAGAGGAGGAGTAGAAGAGATGAGACAAAACTCTGCTTTAACAAGATCCCCCTCCACCATACTCTGATCCTAAAACAGGACTAGAGTAATTTTTTAAGCTTCTTAGATTAAAGATAACCAGTGAAGGCGATGTGGAGTTTGCTCGCATTATGCCACTTTTCACTATTTGTTTCATTACCATGTTCCCTAGAGAAAGGGATAAATTTTTGTCTCCAGAGAAGTTTATCATTGCTAGGTCTCATGTCTGAATGATGACTTCCTTAGTCCTAAAGTTCATTCTCTAAAAACCTCTTTACAGGATCAAAAAATTAGCATGCCAGAATTGGAAGTTCCACTGTTTGTTAATTCTTTTGAAAATGTTGACCTCATGGGCATATCACAAAATACTGCTGTGAATTATTGCATGCTTTTGTAAGAAAGAGATATAAAGTCTTTTCAGTAGGATTTTTGCAGAGTTACTTAGGTAGATTGAAGCTACTGTTTACAGTAGAAAGACTAGTGTTAGCAATGAGAATGAGATAACAAAGGATGCTTAATAAATTGAGCAGAGATGTTTACTAGAATAACTACTGCTCTACTAGACTGAAGGCTGTACTGCAGACATGTTTTGAAAATGTGGTTTTAGCATGCATCTTCCATCCCCATATCTAACGATATCTGAAATTTTGCAGGTCATTAGTTCAGCAAGTGGAATTGTCCTTGTTCCATTTAAAAATTCAAAGTCAAACGGTTGAATTATTTATATTACAAAAACACATGCACAGTTTCACAATGATCATTAGATCCAATATGAAAAATAGCATTGCAGACGATAGCAATTAAATTCCTTTTAATTTCAAATCATGAAGGGCATAACTTTTCTTTACCCTAATTAAGACCTGAGCTTTAATTGGCTCAGCATTGTGGAACTTCAGTAAAGGATATGATCCTTTGAGGATAAAGATGATGTGTGTTTATTTCATACTGTAGCCTCTAAGCAAGCTGCATCTACCTTTGTTCCTAAAAGCTTTATGGGTCTTCACAGATTCTGTCTGTATTTCAGTCATTTTTATGTTTGCACTTATTTTTTACAATACAAACAAAATCTGAAATACTGTCTATTACTGTCACCTTTAGCTATGCTGAGTTTATTACACAGCCATGACTGATTTCTGTTTGCACGTTGAAAATGTCAGTGTGGCACTCTCTTAATTAAGGAACACTAGAAACACTGGCTTAGTCACAGTGCTGGCAATTTTTAAGCAAGCTTATCCCACAAAAAGCTTTGCATGCTTTGAAAACATGGTGGTAATATTTTTTTCTTCTACCAGACACTGGGGAAGAAAGACTCTAAATTCAGCAGACATTCACAACTGCACAAGTCACTCCTGATGCAGATTATATGGAATAAAACTTTGCTAATAATGTTTGGTAGAGTATTTCTAAATAGCTCACTGATTGTGCTTCCCTTGTTTTCCCCATTGTGCTGTTAATTTAATGTAATTTAGTCAAATCAGAAACTCCAAATGAGCATACTGCGCCCTGAGCAAGCTGGGATACGGAAGTCCAAATTGCTGCTCACAGATATTCATCTCTCTTAGCCAAAACACCCACACTGAGGTAACACAGAGAACAAGAGAGTCTACTCAGTTCTATTCCTGAGATTTTTTTTTAATTTTTGTCTTTTTAACATCATAAGACTTACTAATGTGACACAATTAATTCAATTCTTTTAAAAAAATGATTTGCTCTTTTCATTTTGACAATTCTCAGAATGTGAAAACACTCAATGTTGATTTATACATATGCAGAGTGTGTTACTTTATATTTCAAATTGCCTTGGGAAGGCAGCAAGATAAACAATTAGGAAATATTTTCTTTCTTGTTTTTGAGAATGATTGCATCTTTTAATTCAAGTGAAACAGGACTTCTCCATCTTTTTAAAATAAAGACTTTCCATGTAGTGAGACCAGGTTGTGTCCTTGACTACAACCTGGGAATCTTCTGCCCAAAACTCCTGTTGTCTATAATCTTTAAATCAGAGCTGAATGGCCTTTTAAAAGTTTGTGGTTCCTCATTCAACATGTGTGGGTGTAATGCTCTGATGTACATTCTGCAGGAAGTCAAACCAGATAATCGAGACAGTCTTGGTCTACATGACTCCATATAAACTTTCAAATGAGCCAGTTGTTCTCCCTGGATGTTTTAGGACATAATGTCAGTGCAAAGTGTTAATAAGAATGTTCATATTAAGTGAAAATGGAAACCCACAAAAAACTGAGACTCTATTCTTCATAGGCATAGCAAAGATAGAATATATAATAGCACTTAGGAGATTTCTTCCTAGATTTTTAACACTAGGAAAAATTCTGAGACTCCTTCTTGTAATAGAGTAAAAAAAAAAAAGTGAAAATATTAAATGGTTCAAATAGTTTATTTGGAACTGATTAAAAGATGGGCCTTTCTTCCATTCTTTTTCTGTCTACTGACATAATATTTAACTGAGGAAAAGCTCTAACATATGCAAAAGCTTTCAGAGGAAGAGCATATGGGTGGTTAAGTGATATTATGGCTCATCCAGTCCATTTTTCTTCAGTTTGATAAAAACAAACAAAAAGTAAAACAGTAATGTGCCCAGCACTGCCTTCCATGGCAGATGTGTGAGATGCTTTTGAAGGGTGTCTGGAGTAGCTGGTCAGGAATAGACCAGTATTTAAGTGTGAAGTAGAAGTGAAGGCAAATAATTCAAACAGCAGGAATATCAGTTTGGAGCTGGCTGAATGTTAACAAGGATGCTCAGGGCAGGACTTGTCCCCAGCTCTTTTGCTGTGCTCAGTTAAAAATGCGGTTTTCTGTTTCATCCAGTGCTACAGGCATCCTCTAAATTTTGCTCATGGAAAGGAGCCATAGTACCTCCCTGAACTGCTTTTGGAACCTGAAGGAGAGCTGATGTTGAGCTGAAGGAGCAAAAGCAGCAAAACCCTCTGTACTGTGCTGTGGATGCTCCTGGCTGTAGTATGCTCTTGGCTACTACAAAAGCCTAAGCGGGAGGATCTTGCCAGTCCCTTCACTACTGGGATCATGCTGCTAAACTGGCTCTTACCAGCAACTTTTTCATCTCTACAGCACAACTAAGAAATTATACTTTTACTTTGGAATATGGACTTTTGACAAATCTGTGCAGCTTCCTTTAAGCCTTAAAGAGTGAGCCACCCCTAGCTTACACACTCATCTACCACACAGATCTGAATGGGAATGATAAGCCCAGGTGCCATTAACCTTCTAATGTACAATTTAGCTCTTTCACTGTCTTGCATGTTACTGTCAGGTAGTTTAATGGCCTCCTAATTTGTGTGTGTGTATGAACTAATTAGCAATACAAAAATATGAAATCACCTTATATTTTCTTATCATCAAGTCTTCTGAGGGTTCTGAATTTGTCTTCATGCATAAGGCAAAATAATCAAAGAAGCAGAGCTTGTTAAATTTGCCTTCATTAACACTGAATTTATTTGCCTAAGTACTCTTATTCCTGCTGAGCTCACTTAAATATACAATTTCCCTGTTTGATATTTTTTTCTTCTTTCCCAGAATACATTTTCCAGCTAAAAAGGAATCCACATTTTTATAAGAATTTTTTCTTTTTCTGTATACTTCTTTCTCATGTAGTATCCTAGACCACATGCTTATGAAAGATGATCTTTGTCAAAGTAGATCC